CGCGCTTAGCGGGCAGGATCAACACCTCTTAGGCGACGCTTCTCTGGTATCCGGTCTTTCATCTGGATTATCTTGGAAAGGAAGGAAAGAAACTTCTACTCGCTGATGCACTTAGCCGATCGTATGTGGGTCAGCTACTGGCGGTAGTGATGAAAGTGGATGCTCTCCATGATTATTTTGATAGGTGTTCAAATGTGGTGCAGGAATCTACGGACAAAGACTATTTTGCAAGAACTATCGCTCATCCAAAATAGCTGGCTTGATAACAAGGGTGAGATAAAACTAAAGATGTGAGTCATACATTTTATGATATCAGTGACACACTATCATTTCAGGATAATTCTAAAAGGTGAATATCTTGTTATTTCCGCAGCTTTGCGCGAGGAAAAATGCCATCTACGTGTCGCTCACCGCGGCTATTATAGCATGATGCAACAAGCGCGCAAATCCATATTCTGTCCCGGAATGGGTAAAGAAATAAAAAGTCTATATAGAATGGCTGTACTATGTGCTAGAAAGCAAAACCAACCAGCCCACACGAAACTCAAACAATATATGCCTGTTTGCAAAGGCCAATGGGATAAAGTATGTGGACGTTTTCCATATTTTAGGACGACAATACCTTTTTATGTTCGTTTACGTTAGTACTGGGGTGTTGTGCATATAGGGTGTTTCGCGAAAATCGCGTTTACAAACATTTTTGAGTTTACAAAACACATTTTCTCTTAGAATGTAGCGTCCGCGGGTGGCAGCTATATTTCTTAAAGTAACTCTGGCTGATTTATGGACATTTTTAGCCTAGTGTATAGACGCTAATGGAAAATGATTTCCCAATGGAATACCTAAATTAACAGGATTACTGTGCGCGGGTTTTTATTTGCTCACCATAATAAACAGTTACAACCCAATATAAACTCTGCCAACAGCTAGATCCCCACTACGTGATTACTTACGGAGTTATGACAGCCCGGGCAGGGGAATATAATACTGGTGCCTTATCCAGCCATGTCTGTAGTTGCTTGTCGAGTTCTTCAGCTAAAGATTAAGATATAAGCATATTTAAGCATAGTTGTTAATTAACGGTGCATCAGCGTAGAAACCTTGTTCGTCTTTCCTTAAATAATGGAATATAGCTAGCACGTCATCGTCGCTGACATAGGCCCCTACGTTTTTCCTGTGTATTTGATTAGGGGAGCTTGGCATCTGCGGCCCCGTCGGCTTAAATCACCGTTTTTGTACGGGTAAAGAGTTACCACAGTTGCACCTATAACGATATCTCAACATGGAGCTACTACAATATACGAGCTACACAAATTCTAAATTCTATAGTAAAGTTCAATGCTCGGTTATAATTTACACTGCAACGTAAAATTACGATACAAGACAACCACGCAATGCTATACTCATATATACGATCCTGCACTGTGTTTAGTAGCTACGCAAAGTGTAGTTTGATTTTTACATAGCTTAAAGCTTACACATCTTTACATAAAGCTTTTTCAAAGCTTTACATAGCTTAAGGGGCCGGTCTTAGATTTTGTTAGAATAGTTTGCACGTCGCATGCATGTGCCCATGAATCCTCCAAACACGGTGAATTTTTAGCACCACGTTTTTAGTTATTACTTATTGACATCCAACAATAGAAATCGAAACAGATTAGATATAGATACAGATATAGCTTAAATTACTGTCAACTCAATACATGTCAACCTCTGAAAATAACAGCTTACTACTACGTACTGTACAGGTAGTCTCTAGAGTATGTCCTTTCGCTCATGTCTGCATCGGTGCCAAACACGTCACCTACGAGGTAATAATTATCATGACTTAATACTGTCGATACTTACAAGAGTTTATTTTATTGCGATATTAGGCATGCAATACTTTATTCTTATTCTTATTATTATTATCACATAATTTCTGCGTGAGCTGTAAAGTGGCAGTTCTACTAATGCTTCTCTACATGTTTATATAGCTGATTATAGTACTGATTCCACGATATAACGCCTTTAACATGAATAAGATCAGTAATCAACATTTAAAAACTAAGCGAATGTGGAAAGCCTACCAAATCTTTGCGCAGCATCATAAATGAAGACAAGCACACAACCTACGAACACGGCTTGCCATGTTCTTGTCATAGCACAACAACAACAACAAAGCACAATTTTATAGATTATATAAGTTGCCAGTGCATAGTCCTCTCCAAGAAAAAGAACCTCGCGTAGCTAGAACAGGCAGATTTACAGGCACGGTCGTCGTGTCGTGGGCAGTAACCGAAGAACTACACCGGACCAGGTCGCGGCGTAAACCTGCTTTCGTCTGTGACAAACAGTGCAATCCATCACCAAGGATATTTTACTAGCTACGGCTACTAGCTACTAGCTACTAGGACATACGGTGTTGTGCTACGGCTGGATAATTCAATTCGTTGACATTGTCGCAGTGGTAGAGCACCTTGTGTGCAGGAATGCGAATTACACCAGGGCCGTAGGCTGAGCAAATTCCAAGGGGGAGGGCAAAATTTCAAGACTCAACTGTGTAATGATGAGCGACGGGCGCAGCACTTGATCGACGTCCATAATGTGGTAGGGGTGGGCATGAGACAAGGCTTAGTGATAAAAATCACGTTGGGGATATTTACGATTATTAGCTAAGCTTATTTTTTAATTTTGCAAAATCTAGGAGAGGACAGCTGCCCCCCCCCCCCGCAGGCTACGGCCCTGTAGGCCTACACTAATGTGCAAGGGAATGATTAATTGTCTACCACATACTGTTGTCGGGCTCTAATGTGATAAAAAGCTCCTTGTCTACTGGTCTATAGCAATTCGACTCTCAGGCATACTATGCTTAAGCCCGCCCAAATTCTCGTTGACAACGCGACGCACAGACGGATAAGCGTGCATTTATTAACAGATAATAACAGTTTGAAAGAATTAGAATCATTTATAATAACTGTAATCTACCATAAAAGCGCCCGAGGGGAAAAAAACTGTTGGGCACGCCCTCCCTCGCTATGTGTGTGTGCGCGTGCGTGCGTGCGTGCGTGCGTGCTCCATTTCTTGTGCTCTCTATCATCACCTCGTGTGTTCTCTATCATCACCTCGTGTGCTCTCTATCATCACCTCGTGTGTTCTCTATCATCACCTCGTGTGTTCTCTATCATCACCTCGTGTGTTCTCTATCATCTCCTTGTGTGTTCTCTATCATCGCCTCGTGTGATCTCTAGCATATCTTCGTGTGTTCTCTATCATAACCTCGTGTGTTCTCTATCATCGCCTCGTGTGTTCTCTATCATCACCTCGTGTGTTCTCTATCATAGCCTCGTGTGTTCTCTATCATCGCCTCGTGTGTTCTCTATCATAGCCTCGTGTGCTCTCTATCACAGCCTCGTGTGCTCTCTATCATCGCCTCGTGTGCTCTCTATCATAGCCTCTGTCGTTGTCTCGTGTCCTCCCCATCGCCTCGATCGTGCGCTATTCCCTATAATTTCCACTCTCTACAGGATCGCGCGCGCCCCCCCTCTCTCTTTTTTCGACTTCCCAGATCACGCCCTCCACGCTGCTACTCGCCCTACCCGCTGATTTTGTGCACACGGCGCTCAACTTCTGAATCCCGGCAGGGCCAGCACAGACGATAACCACAACGAAAATGAGACGCGAATAACTTTATTCTGCGAAACCCGCGATAGAGGCGAAGTCAACATATCTCCATAGTCTAACAAGATCCTAACATTTAATAAGGTCATATGTTCGCCAAAGATCGATTAATTATGAGACTGATTTTTTTTCGCAGAGAGGAGCTGGACATCGATTTGAAGAAGATATTCTACAAGCTGCGCTGTGTTCCGACTCCTTTTCAATTTCTGTTTACTACACTATCGTGTCTCTCGACATACAGCTTAGTGAACGTGGTACGTATATATAGTGCGCACGCACGCACATACGCGCACATGCGCACGCATGGCCACACACACACACACACACACACACACACGCACGCACGCACGCACGCACGCACGCACGCACTCACGCACGCACGCACGCACGCACACACGACACACACACACACACATACTATACTAGTCAATATATGCGTATAACACGCACATCAGGCGAACGACGCACCGCAAGTCCGACGCCATCACACACATACAAACGATGCCAAAAAACAATAACTCTGCATTTACACTTTGTGCGGAGGGTAAATAGGGGCAACTTGTTTTGTAACAGCGAAATTGGAATCGAGCTTCTAGTTGTCGATCTATACACACTGTCGTATGCCTTATACGTCCACGTTAGCGTTTACTTTTAGGCTGATGGCTCATTTATGCAGACTGGATTTCAGATGTAATCATTGTACTAATTTGTCATTAATAATTGTATGAATTGTGTTGTGAATATGAGCTATTTGAATGAATGGATGAAATAAAGTTATCAAGGAAATATTATTTAGTTAATGTCAACACCAAAACTATAAGCTAGCTCACTTTGGTTCAAACAATATCGGATTCACAGGGCTATCAAGCTGTATTGGCCTCTTATCAAGATGGCATATTGTTTTGAATATATATAAATACCTTATTATGTACACAAAACATTAAGAAAGTTTTTTTTGGTTGTTCATTAAAGCAAAGCTGCTATCCAACAATAAACCGACGCAGGCTCTTCGACGGTTACACGGGCCCGTGCTGTTATCATATCGACCAACATAGTGTTAGCGAGATAGGGAAGTGTGTGGACTACACAAACAACAAGCCTCAGCTATGAACACACACCGAACAATGTTGAAAATCGGAGTCTTGGATATCTATTATGTTATTTATCTTTTGAATGAACAGGCATTGGTGTTTTAAGCTTCGTCTACACGACGAACCTTAATCTGAGGTTAGCGATTAGTGTAGCGTCTACGAACGACAACACCGCCGCGGATAGCGATTATTACCGATTTATGTTATGCACTTTGCGTGGTGAAGCGCTGTGCTATGTTAAAACGTGCGTGTGTGCAAGTGCGTGCGTCGTAGTAAGGCTCACGTGGCGTTCGTGCCGTGCTGTGTGCACGTAACGTGCGTGCAGTGCGTGTCGACTGGGCACAGTCGCATGAGTGTAGTCGTGCGCGCGTGCCCAGTAACCACGTTCTGTGAGTTCGTCGCGTGCAGTGGCTGCGTGTGCACGTACACGTGCGTACATGTGTGCGTGGTGCAAGAAGTTGTGTGGTGTTGCGCGCGTGCCAGGGTTAACACGTTCGTGAGTTCGTGCGTTGACTACGTGACGTATGACTACTGATGCACGTCTACACGTGCGTGGCATGGTGAGGCGTAACATGTGCCGTGCGGTGCGGTCCGTGCGTTGCAAGTATGCACGTACACGTACTGTGCGTGCAGCGCGAGTAGCAAATACGATCATACGATAAGGCTCTGTGGCACGTACAGTGCGTGCGTGCGTGTGTAACATCTACACGTGCGTCGCGTGCGTGTGTGCAGAATTGACAGTTGACGTGCGTGACGTGGCCGTGCATGCATCGTGCACTACACGTGACGTGGTTGCGCGCGTGCGGCGTTACATGTGCAGTGACAGAGTGTGTGGCGTGCGTGCTTGAAAGTACACGTGCGTTTGCATGCGTGGTGCACGTACACGTGCGTGCGTCAGTGCACGCTACACGTAGTCGGTGCTGAGTGTGTGCGTGTCAGTGTGCCGAGTTACGCGTGACGTGCAGTGGTGTACGCCTACATCTGTACTAGTGCTAGCCGATCCTATCGTGCGTCAGGGTTAAGATAACTTCGAAACGCTTCGTGATGATAGACGTAGCTGTTAGTTTTCATCTAAGTCAAAAGGAAGCCACCATGCAAAAGCAGTCGACTATTAACACACACCGACATGTTAAAAAATCGCCGATTTACTGGTTTTTTTTAAATCTATGTTTAGATAGATGTTATTAGATATGTTTGGTAGTTGAACTAGTTCAAATACCGATTAGTGTAGCATTAATGAACCCCAATTAAACACTGATTATAGTAGAGTAACGGCTTAAAAGTGTAAAGCCAAACTAACCATAAAATGGTTACATACGGTAGAAGGACTATGAACAACAATAGCTGGCAAGCAGAAGTCTGTACCAGCAATAGCAGTATTATAAGTAGCAGCGCTGGCTGCAGAATTGATATCAGGACGTCTAGCTATGTAGGGCAGCAGGAGGTTTATTTTCGAAGATAAGGCAATAAGTAATGAGCCAGCAACTGTCGCGGCACTTCTGCGGATTTGTTATTGACGGTTACTTGTTGTTATTCCCTTCACCATTTGTCGTCTGCTAAAAATAGCCCGTGGATTCTCAATTCATTTAGTTACCGTGAAAACGCTAGTACTTGCACTGATTAATTAAATAGCAAATCTTCAAACGTGACTTATCTGGCATATAAAACGTAATCACAATGATCAATGAACGAACATTAAATCGATACTTTACCTTGATGCCGTCTGCCATAAAAGCTTAAGAAACGTTGCATTGCCGGCTGTCAAAGGATGCGCAATTGACTGTTCCAGAAATTGGTCCGAAATGAAATACAATTCCTCAATATTTATTCAAGTTGATAAATATCAAACAAAAACAACAATGGTTCAGCGACCTACCGGACAACAAGTATCAATTAGTCGTGGTCAAAAAGTTTAAGAACCAGTAGATTCAGGATAACATCGTGATTACAATACGATTAAAGGTCAGGCATAGTACTTTTAAAAGTAGTAAATGGTCTGCACAACCGTCATGAGGAATAGAAATAGATAATGCCCTGATCAAAGTCAATAAGGACTAAAATTTACAAACATTTCAGGTTACGTATTT